ACACAACCAGTTACGTCTAAACTCTTAAAAGCTTCTCATTCCCTTCGAAATTTGTAGATTCATACATTCTAATTGTTTCCTAAAGATTACAGTGAACCGTGAATATGTTTGCTTACTAGTTTTTTTCTGACATTTCCCGTGGTTTGAGATTTAAAATTGAAACGAAAATGATTTCTAAATTAAAGTACACTTTTGATCGACTTCTTTTATCGTTTATCGAGACGTCTTAATAAAAACTGCAACCGAATAACTATTACTAGTAGCATCAACTCTTCGTCAAATTTGATGCGAGATTGAGGTATGCATGTTACATTGTCACCTTTTCTCTTAATAGACTGATTATAAAAAAAAAAGATGATGTCTAATACGTTGTCGACTCTTTTGTGGTTTTAGTGTATTTAAATTTGTATCTTCTAAAAATATAATCTAGGATTGAGTTCAACTGGCGTGCATGTTCTCAAATCTCAATGTGACTTCTTCTTTTTTTGATAACAAATCTCAATGTGACTTTGACAACAATCTTTTTGATGAAGTTATATACAGTATATATGGTTCACTAATTCACCGCTCAATATATTATTGATCTAAATTCTAAATAATAATATGGTATGATGATATATGTTATTTTTATCAATAATATGGTATGATGATATATGCTACAAAACAATTGATAAAAAATAACTAAAATAAAGAAAAGCAATCTATACTATAAAAGATGGCCAACTTTCTCCATATGAGTGCTACATCATCATTTTTTGGTTTATTGTAGAAATGACATGTGTTATTTCTTAAAATTTAATGATACAAATTATGTAAAATATAGTTAATGAATAAATTTAATGTATTATTAATCATAAATACTAAAAGAATATGAAAAATATGAAGTATTAGATAATATATTTTAATAACAATATATACTTAATATCCAAAAATAATTATTGAATATCTATTTTGTGGTAGTTTTTTAAAATCATTAACAAAATTTATATTTTATATTTAAGAGTGTTTTCTTATTTTTAATTAATATTATAAGTTATTATTATAAAACAATTATAGAAATATAAAATTAACAATTATTTGATATTTTGAACCTTAAAAAGTTAGAAGAAAAATTTATACAATATTATAATAAACTTTAAAACAATTTCTTTATAAACTAATAATTATTTGATAATTTATTTTATTCAAACTTGATCCATTAATAATTTTAAAATTAATAAGATATCAAAATCCTAAAATATTTATTTATAAAATATTTAATGTAGCTGTATAAATTAGAATTATAAATCAATTATTTAAGCTCATAAAAATATAAACCACAGCATTGCTATTGTGTAAATCTACGCCGTGAACAAGTACGACTTCTTAAAAAGAGTCGTCTCTATCTATGTTTATGCTTGAAGAATTTCTCTAATTAATTTTTGTTATATAGTACTTCTCTGATTTGTATTATATTCATTTAATATATTCTATATATACAAGCAGAGGCGGATCTACGTTGGTGGGTACGGGGGAACATGTCCCCAGTTAAATATATAATTTTGTTTTAACTATATTGATTATAATTAAGTTTCTCAATGGCTATGAATGCAGTTTGATATTACATGAGTTCTTAGTTCGATGTCCCCGTCTATTTAAATTTCAACTTTATATTTTCTTTTCTTCTTTTTAGTTGTTTGTTAAATTTTCTTCTTTTGGGTCCCATATTTAAACATTTTACAAATGCAAATTTTTTTCTATTTTTTTCTTGCAATTAATTAAGGCCAAGTTAAAGTTTGAACTAATATTTTGGTCGTTCATATACATAATTAATGTAGATTTTTGAACATGTACACTTTAATTTTATATAAAAAATTATTAAAATATTTTTGTCCCCAACTAAAATTTGTTCTGGATCCGCCACTGTATACAAGGTATAATATATTTCACATTTCTTTATCAATAAATCATTGATCACATATATAGTTAATATTCACATAATATGTATTGTATGTTTATTCAAATACACAATATCCTTTAAATTTTTTAAAATATACGATAAAATAAATTGTAGCTATACTTTTTAATAAATTATATTGTGAAAAAAATCCGTGCATGGCGCGGATACTCATTTAGTTCCTTATAAAACGTTTTAATTATTATTAGTACTAGGTGTTTCCCTGCATCTTGTGCAGGGTTCGATTAAATTTTTTTAAAAATATAACATTAGTTTATTTATAGATAAAAAATCAGATTTTATAATGATTCTAAACCAAATTTAATATATTTAAAAAAAGAATTTTCATGAGTATATTGTTTTTTTGTGACAAAACAAAATATATTATTTATATCTTATTTTTTAATATCTTTTATATTATCCGATAAAAACTTATTTGTACCCTTTGTTGTTTTGTTGTATTTATCAAACATGATAAATAATTTCTTCTTTTTATGTAAATTGGTAGATTAAGATTAATGAAATTCAAAGTTTGCATAAAAAAAACATGGCTATCCAAAATGACCAAAAGCAAATGATCTTTGTTTCATATCATCTTAATATTAATAAATATATAGAGTTTTAAAGGAGTTTAAATGATTTAGGGTTTTACTTGTGGTTGCATAAATCAATTAGGTTAGTCTAAATATTAATATGTTAAACAATCCAATTAAAATTAGTTTAATAAAATAATTAAGATTTTTTTACTTATTTATGCTAGTTAGTTTTTTTAGTAAACTGAATATTTTATGATATAAACTCGAATTTGGAAATCTAAGTTTAAAAAAAAAACGAAAATCAATTAAAAATTAGATTATATTAGTTTGTTAATTTCATTAAGAGTAATTAAAGTAAATCTATACTAAATAAAAGGAATTATTTGGGGCTCTTTAAGTTATCCACCTCAGCTTTTCAAACTACTCTAAAAATATGACACATCAGCAAAAAATAATAATGCAAATTCCCACTTTAGATTTTTTTGAAATACACATAAAGTAAATAAATAGAACCAAAATTAATATAGTTAAATACAAGAGTAAATAAAAATAAAATAATATTTTTTGAATCTGTAAAATAAATATTATTTAAATCTATAGCATCAATATATACTCTTTTGTTTGTAATATAACAAATTAACAATAATAAAAATTCTCACTTTAGATTTTTTTGAAATCCATAAAATAAATAAATAGAACCATTAAATTAATATAGTTATTAGCAAAAACTAAATAAAACTATATATCATTTTAATCAGTAAAATAAATAGCATTTAAATCTGTAGCATTAATATATACTCATTTTGTTACTAAAATTAATATAGTTACCAACGAAAGTAAATAAAATTAAAATATCATTTTTTGAATCAGTAAAATAAATATCATTTAAATTTATAGCACCAATATATACTTCTTTTGTTTGTAATATAACAATAATAAAAAATTTCACTTTATATCTTTTGAAATACACATAAAATAAATAAATATAACCACTAAGTTAATATAGTTATTAGGAATAAGTAAATAAAACTAAATATCATTTTCTAAATCAGTAAAATAAATATCATTTAAATCTGTAGCATTAATATATACTCTGTTTGTAATATAGTGAATATATTGGACAAGAAATTGCTCTAAAAAACTTAAATAATAGTTAATAGAAACAAGATTACAAAATAATAATTTCTAAAATAAAATTTAAAACATTTACAAATTATAAAAATCTAAAACATTCACCTTTTAGAAACATACAGATTAAACATCATAGTACGTTAGATTTATGGCAACCAACAAGACAACATAAATTATAGGAAGCTTTTCAAAGCATCTATCTATATGAAGATTTCGATCATCGTTACTATTTACATTGCAGAAAATGATAGACAAAAGAAGAATTTCATGCACTGATATTTATTCAATGTGTGTCTTAGTTGGCTTAAGGTAGTCAAGTTACTACAAGCGATACATGTCAACACATGAGTTAAACAGTTTATAAACAAAAATTAAGTTTTAGATGATAGTTAATTTTTATATATATCAAGTTAGTAAATTTTTAAATTAAATAATAATGTATTTTGAAAAAATAACATACACATTTTTATGTAGAAGAAAATGTCTAAAAAAATCTCTAATTATCCACATCAACAAAATTCCTTATAAACCCAACTTGAATGAAAAACTAATCTGGTTTTTTTTACTGGGTTAAGAAACTCCTTTAAAAATAATATAATATATATTATTAGTTTAATTATAAAAGCTCATCAAAATATATATGTGTAGTTTAAGAAAAAATGTTTAAGTTAAATTACAAGCAAAATATTTTTACATCTTTTGAGTTTTGAGAAACTCAACATACTTTATTTAACATAATGAGTTAGTATGAAATTGTATTTGTATATATATTACTTGCCTTATTCATCTATATTTTTTATAATTTACGTATACTTCATAGACCAAATCAAAATTGCATTTTATCAATATGATTGTGATTTTTTATACTATGTAAATATTGTTTTTATTTATATGAATCATAGTTATTTTATAGATTTATAAGAGATTAGAACATTGAGTGTTGTTTGTATTTGAGATTGCTAATTAAATAAAAACACTACACAAATACAGTTGAAATAAAAATAAAAAACTAAATTAATTGGAACAATAATAATCAAATTTAGTCAAAACAAAAATAATTTTAATAATATTTTAAAAGTTAGTAGTGAATAACAGTGAGTTTATATACAAATATTAAGTTTTAGATTAACAGTTAATTTTAGCATATATCAAGTAGGTAATTCTTAAAATTATATCATGATACATTTTTTTAATACGTTAAAATATTTTTGATGTATAATCATATCAAAACAATTTTAAAAATTAAATATTATATTTAAAATATTAATTTAAAGTGAAAATAATTTAACTTAAATAATAATTAAATATCTATATAAAAACAATCTGCGCGTAGCGCGGAAACATACCTAGTATACATAAGAAGCAAAAGGTAATCAATCATCATAACTTTCAACTACAGCCCAACTTGCTTACCAATTAATAATATGATAACCATGTACTTTATGTTTCTCAACCTGCTTTATACTCATACTGAAGATGAATCAAACAGCTTGTTGTGTATTTCTCTGTCACAATTATTTCTTTCTCATTGATGCTATTGCTAAAGAATCTAAAGTTTCCATACCATCGATCAGACTAAAACCGGAAGAAGATAATGAAAAAACAACACAAATCTCTTATTAGATCTTTGGGAATTTCCTATAATCTTTATGCTCCTATCTTCTTCTCCCTTTGTTAGGTATTGATCTCTCTATGTAACTGTCGAAATCTCCTTCCCGGAAAGGGAAGAAAACGGACTCTCAGGTAGATTCAAGGTTTGACTGTCCAAAGGTTCACAATGGATTCTCCTAAATATAAATAAAACATTTTATGATCAAATAAAATTAAAACCAGAAAATGTGTTTGTTAAGATGAATGTCATTGCATACCTATCATTGTCTTTGTAGTTAGTGGTTATGTTCATGGCATTATCTTCGGTGTTCAAATAGTCAAGCAGATAGCTCAACCGTCCCGCTTGTTCCTCTTGCGCCGCTACAAAATTATGAAGAATGTCATACAATTCATACCCACATTTTCTTGGTTTAAGTTTGAAGTATAATTAATTACCTTCTGTTAGCTTGAAGTCATCGGAGCCGAGATAGGAGTAATTAGGTAAGGACTTAGAAACCGATTCCTCATGTTCCTCAAGAAATTGTTTCCTCATTAGTCTTGAGCTCTCACTAACCCGCAGTGGCACTTAAAACAAACACAAAACAAAAAAAAGTTAACTAAAACCGTGAAAACTAATTAGTAAATATATAAATTTAATTTTGGTAATTACTAACATGTGTTCATCTCTATTTCTCTGTCAATGTATTGAGAACCATATCGCATGCCGTGCATAGGCTTGTTATTGTCAAGGTATCGACTAGACCGTGATTTTTCCCGGTAAGGCTTGACGAGAACACGAGCCCCGCAGATGAAATGTGGATTGCCTTTAGCAAGAATGAGCTTGACAGTTTCTGTGTAAACAAATGTTACAAATCCAAACATTCTCTTCTGCTGACAAGGAATCCTCACATCTTCCACATGTCCGAATTTAGAGAAGTAGTTTGACACATCATGCTCAGTGAAACTACTATCTGCCGGAAATGTCAAGTAAATCTGTCTAGAACCAGCAAGGACCGCTCCATGTTCGTTTCTCTCTCCCATGTATTCCACAAACTTTGATTCATCTGCTGCTAATATAACCGAATGTTGCCCATGAGGCCTGAAAATCGAAACACCATATTATAACAAAAATGACAAATATACTACTTACATTGAAATGGAAAGAGTAATTGTTTGTTAATGTCTATTTTTGTTTGGTTAACCGAATCAATTCTATCAGAACCAAACAAAAATAAGTTTACCTTTTTATAACCAAAAAAACCAAGCCGAAAAGAAAACCGGTCTAATTAAACCAAAATATTTGAAAACTAATGCACAACGTTCGAGCTGTTGGATCCAAATGCTAAAAACCGAATCTAAACCTAAATTGAATCATAACTAAATTATCCATAACAGATTTGGTTTTATCTTGGATATATACTTATTTATTAACCAAAAAACACTAAAATACTTCGGATTGAACACCCCAAGTTGAAGTGAATCAGAGGACTTGTAGGCTGGAAACTTTTGTCTCTCTCCCAAGGCGGAATCGAACTAGCGAGCTCAAGGACGCACAAACTTAGGTGGGCCCAAGAACTCGCCACTAGCCTAAATGCCACTTGGTTTTTTTATATAAAGCTGTTAGAAAACTAACCTGTCGATGAGGCGGATGGTGTTCTTCAAGCGAGCAAGAAGCTTGGTGAGGCTATAGCCAGCTTTGCCATGTCTTTGCGACTCTGTGAGATATCCTTCAGCTTGAAGTGTCTTACCATATTTCTCGTAGTACATCATTGGCAATGAAGCTATCGAAATTGGAGCTCCTCTTCTTGATTTGAGCAGCTCGATGATCTCTCCTTCTAGTTTCTCAAGTGATCCGGGGGAAACAACATGCTCTTCATCACTCAGGTTATTGTTTGGATTTAACATCTGAGCAAAACTCTCTCTCTCCGGTTCCGGTATGATCTGCCCGTGAAAGTACCGGCAGTTGTTACCGTGTTTGCAGAAACCTTTAGCGAAGTAATGACATATCTTTACCGGAAACTCGGGTAAACTCGGTGATCTCCTGCTCGTTCGCAAAGGCATAACTTGATGATCACGAGAGAAGAAGCCATTAGAGAATTCAGAATCTTCAAAATTCAAGAACTGAACATTGTGCTGCAACGAGTCAATCTCGGTTGGATTCTCCCAGAAACCGGTTCTCATAGGAGGAGATGAGCCGGTAAATGATCCGAAACTACGGTTAATCTGATCCGAAGGAGGGCTATGGTAACGAGGATCTTTAGCTAATTCATATTTAACGAAGTTGATCATGGAACGCATCACAGAATCTGGACAGAAGGCTAGACGGATCATGTCTCGATCGCTGTGTTCTTGCATCAACAAGAGATAACCGATGATTTTCGACGCGTGTTCTGGTTCAAGCTGTTGGATTCTGTTGTGCACAACGTTCATCGATTCTGTGAAATTCATATCTTATAGTCTCTTATACCAAAACTCTGCAAAAGCAAATACTTTCAAGTCAAAACACTTTATACGATGAATCAAAAGTACCATAACGACAAGAGTAGAAGAGTGAGAGTCACTCAAGAACGCACATGTTAATATTTGTACGGTATGGGATTTACATTATAAATCAAATAAAGGGTTTGAATGGTATGCAACTTTTTTACGTTTTCAAGTTTTGGAAACTTAATTGTGATTCCGTTAGCATATTAAAAATATAACTAAAAAAATAAAACGTGATTAATCTACTAAAAGTAGCTTTTTAGCTACTCACAATTATTCTGTTAAAATATTATTCAGTTCAATTCATTCCGCTAGTAATTATTCCGCTATTTTATTATTCATCTGACATACCAGTCAGATCCAAAGAAATAATGTAATATTATTGATAAAAATAACAACGAGATATATCTAACATTCTAACTCACAATTATACAATCAAAACAACATTTGACCCTCTATAACAAACAAACAAAAAAACAACATTTGACCCCGAGAGAAACTATTAACATTTTGTTTCAGAATTGACAATTTAACATCTTTCGGTTCAATTGAAACGCCCTCAATTAATAAATACGTTTAACACAATATAAACAGATCGTGAATGATCCCTAACCAATGTGAAAACTACATAAGATACTGGAAAATCGAACATAATCAATTAGATATGCGTGAAGAAAGGAAGTTTTTCAGTTTGAATCATAACATCTGCCAATTATTAGAGGTTTCTGTTAGAAGAAAGGTAATAAGAGTGGAAGATTAGTTTGAAAAACTAGAAACAATCTGAAAACTAAAGTGGAAACTTTTTACATTAGTAAAGTATTTTCCTTCAGCCGATGATTTTCCAGATCGTGAAGCATGGAATGAATTCTTCAGAACTATTACTTCTTCTGTAAAATGTCGTAGACGACGAAATTTGTTTTTTTTTTGTAAATAAGAATGCATTGAGATACATCATGGAGATAAATATCAAGAAATGTTTGAAAAAAAAAACTCAAGGCTCAATTGAAAAAAGACTACTTACATTTCAATGTTGAATTAATCAACCCACGAGCGTGAGAACCACAAACAAGAGTGGAGCAGATTTTGTTTTTTAAAGAAAAAAGGAATAAAGAAATGTTTTAGAGGCAGATAAATATCAAAGAAGACAACAAAGAGAGATCGTGTAATATTTTTTTAAATCTTTGCAGACTTACAGTAACTGTAAAACAGATAAGATCTCAGAGATTCTTGGATGGTAGAGAGAAGAAACGATAAGTCCTAGGTACTAATTAATTCGTTTTTAAATAAACAAATTCTTGTTGCATGGAAAAATTGATATTGAAATAAAAGTTTTTGAGTTTTTATTCGTTTGACAACTCGTTCCATTCTATATCGTTACAGCAATTATCGGGGACTCCGTTGGAATCAAATAAACCTGGAAATTTAAGGTTTTTTAATTACGTGAAATCACAATTAAGAACGTAACCGTAGGATCAGAAGACTTTTGGTAGTTTGACTTTTGTTATTCCCTTTTAATTAATGGACGGTTCATATTTCATGCTTCGCAATTGTTGTATCGTATTTTCTGCCCACGTGGCGCGGATGTTGTTTCTTTGGATAAGGATAATGCACACAGTAGTGACCGTTAGCATATATCGGTTAATAAACTTAAGGTCCCACCATATGAGTATGACTAGGGATTACGGTTTTTTCTTTACACCCGTAAATTGGGTATTTGTGGCAACAGAACAGTTACTAATTTACTTTGATTTTTTTTTTAACATGGAAATTAGACAGACCTAGACAAAATATCAATGATTCAACCTTTTATAATTTTTAGATTCAAATTCGGGTAATTTAATTTACAAATCAGGATATCTTAATTTGATATGAATCTATACTAAATGAAAGCGCAATTGTTTGGGACTTTAAGCTATTCACATCGAATTTTTAAAACTATGCTCTCAAGAAAACATTAATAAAACATCCACATTAGATTTTTTTTAAATACACATAAAATTAATATAGTTTATTAACAAAAATTAAATAAAATTAAAATATCATTTTTGAATCAGTAAAATAAAAATTATCTATTATATTAAAAGAGAATCCATTTTAGAAAAATAACATTTAATGTGTTATTTACTTAATATGCCATTAGACTTTCATTAGATATATACAATTTATTAAATCTATTATATTCATTAAATCATTAAAGATCTAATTTTTTGTTATTCTTCTCATTAGATACCCAATATTTTGTTATCCTTCTTATAAAAAGCTCATCTTTATTTAAAATTTAGAAATATCTAATTTTTTTTGTCTTTCATTCCAAATTTATTAAAAAGATATATATATATATATATATAAAATGTCAAAAATAATATTATTAAGGTCTAAATTTTATTTTTCTCAAGGGACATTAAATATGTTAGGTCAGGGCTATATGTCAATATTTTTTATTTTTTATTTTGCGATTGAACTTCCTAAATAACTGATCATATACCCAGAAAATCAAGTTTATATATCATGATCAATTCATTTCCATTACAATACGAAGCCTATATTGGTTCTTCTTATATATATTATTATTAAATATAATATTTTATCACTATAATATATATATATTCAATTATTTATATTATATAAATTATTTTTTAACAGCATAATATTAATTATTTAGTATAAGAAATTTCTATTTTCATTTTGTTTTGCAAAACTTATAAAAAACAATTAAAGAAGAAGAAATTATGAAAAAAGGAAAAAAAAATAAGAAAAAACACATAAAACACGAAAAAGAAAACAAACAAAAATAAAAAGCTGAAGAAAATTACAGAAAAAAGAATGAAAAAAGAAAAATGAGGAAAAAGATGAAGAATAAAGAAAAATGTGGAAAAATAAGAAAAACGAAGAAAAAAACAGAGAAAAAAATTAATAAAAATAAGAAAAGAGGAAGAAGAGAGAAGAATAACATAAAAAGGAACTTAAAATATAAATGGAGAAGAAGAGAAATACAGAAAAGAAGTACGAAGAAGAAAAAACAGATAAAAAAACTAGAGAAGAAAAAACAGAAGAACGAGAAGTAAAACAGACAAAAAATGGAGAATAAGAAGAAGAACGGAGAAAAAAAGAGAGAAGAAGGAAAAGTGGAAGAGAAGAGAAGAACTAGAAAAAGAAGATAAATTTTAAAAAATAAGAGAATTGAGAAAAAGAACAAAAACAAAAAATTACGTAGTTATAGTTATAATATATTTGAATCAATAACAAATAACTTATAATATTTTATTTTTAATTTTATATTTTTGTACTTACAAAATTTAAATTCACTCTTTAATATATATATAAAAATCTAACCATGAAAATAACACATTTACATCTTATTTTTTCATATCGCATTTTATAAATTACAAATTTTAATCTTTTTTAAACATTGTCCTGCGCGGACGCGCAGGTTAGAATCTAGTTTAAATTTATATCATTAATATATACTCTTTTTCTTTCTAATATAATGAATATTTTAGAAAAGAAATACTCCAAAAAAAACTTAAATAATAGTTAATAGATAGAAGGTTACAAAATAGTAATTTCTAAAAAACAATTAAAACATTCACAATTTAGAAAAATATAAAACGTTCATCTATTAGAAACATAAAGATTATATACATAACAAATAAATAAATAAAATTTAGTAATTAACACAACTGTATTTCACATATTGTCTATTGTCTCTACAATGATAAGCTTGTACGATTTTATGAATACATTACTTATTACAAAAATTTATAAAATACATTTACAGAAAATAGACTAGCATAGCTCTATTTTAAACAATTAATATATTATATTTCTATATTTAAAAGATAACATACAGACTTTTATGTAAAAAACAAATATCAGAAAAACATCCCTGACCATCCACATCAACAAAAAGAAATTTCTTACAAACTCAACATGTAAGAATAACTAATATGATTTTTTTGGGTTAAGAAACTCTTTAAAAATAATATAATATATATTATTAATTTATTTATAAAGGTTCATCAAAATATATGTGTAGTGTAAAAAAATATCTAAGTTAAATTATAAGCCAAATGCAAATGAACCTTTTAAACCTTTTGAGTTTTTAAAAACTTAACATACTTTGTTTAAAAGAATGAGTTAGTATGAAATTGTATTTCTATATGTTTTACTTGCTTTATTCATCTACACTGCTATAGTTTACTGATGCTTCAGAGACCAAATTAAAATTGCAGTTTATTAATATGATATTGATTTTGTATACTATGTAAATGTTATTTTTATTTATATAATATTTATTATTAATTTAATTATAAAGGCTCATCAAAATATATATGTAGTGTAAGAAAAATATCTAAGTTAAATTACAAGCCAAATGCAAATGAACCTTTTAAACATTTTGAGTCTTTAGAAACTCAACATACTTTGTTTAAACGAATGAGTTAGTACGAAATTGTATTTGTATATGTTTTACTTGCTTTATTCATCTACACTTTTATAGTTTACAGATGCTTCAGAGACCAAATCAAAATTGCAGTTTATCAATATAATAGTGATTTTATATACTATGTAAATATTGTTTTTATTTATATGAACAATAGTTCTTTTACAGATTTGTAAGAGTTTGGAATATTGATTATTGTTTTGTTTGTGACTACTAATAAAATTAAAACACTATACAAACACAATAATCATGTGCTTTCGTTGTACTAATATATTTGATAAATTATTTTCTTTTTATTTAAAATAAAAAATAATTCTTTTAAAATTAAATAAAAGGAAAACTTATAGTTGTTGAGTTAAAATTATATATCAAATTTAATTAAAACAAAATTTTTTTTTATAATATTTTAAAAGTTGGTGAACAACAATGAATTTATGTACAGATTAAGTTTTAGATTAACAATTAATTTTCACTTACATCAACTTAGTAAAATCTTAAATTAAATTATAATATATTTTTGATGTATAACCACATCAATACAACCTCAGTTTAAAAAAATTTCCTCATAATGTCATATGGCATAGATTTGTAAAGTTTTTAAAATAAAAAACAAAGAAAAGTAAAAAAGAATAAAATAGTTAAAAATTAGTGACAAACATTAATGCAACACGTCTCTAACACACGTGAAAGAGTAGCCCATAAAAAAATTAACTAATTTTAATCCAAACAAATAAAAAAAAACTTAGAAACAAATATATTCTTTAAAATCTAAAGTGAAGTCCAAGAAACCACCAATGGCCCAATAGAGAACTAAACGTCGGTGTCTCGAATATCATCTTCCTCCTCAAAACTCTCGAGCTTCCGTCTGCTCTGTGTCTCCAATGCCATCTTCCTCCTCAAATCTTTTCAGATTCCAGAAAACAAAATTGCTGGGTCATCGATTTCTCTCCCCACTTCCTCATCTTCATTGTCCATTCTATTCGACATTCAATGGCTTTAGCGGCCACTCCTCTCATATTTACACTCTCCCTCACACAAGCTTATAAAATCAAACCCCACACAACCCTCCATCTACACAACCACCTCCAAAACCGTAGCAATCAAATTACCAGCTTCAATCATGGCTTCCAGATCTCTCCTTCCTTTTGCTCAGCCACCCAATTTCCAGATTCTTAAGAACAAGCAAGGTGATTTCTGCAACGAAGAAGTGTTAGCTCGCCTGATTCACTTTTGGGAAGCCAAAAATTCAAAAAAGGCAACATCCTGATGGATGTTGAACTAATTTTTCTCGACTCAGAGATACACTAATTCTAATCGTTGTTTCCATACAGGATTTTCTTTTCTTCTATTATTAGGGTAAAAGAATTTCATGTTAGCTCACTTAAATGCATTTTGATGATTATTCTTGCTTTCAGTATTTTAAGAAACGATGGACCAGTCATATTTTGTATTACTCAGAACAAAACGATTCACACCTATTTCTAGATTTAGTATGATCCTCTTTTGCTATTTAACAATCACAGCTTTCCATAATCCAATATCTCTTTATCTCATTTCTATCTCACCATACTACTCTTCCTGCTATTAAACCTCCTTTAGTTTTCAATCCCACAATCTAATGCAGTGCAAATTTTCATTTCTGCAAACCGGCTTTACCGCTTTGAAGACAAGCTCAAGTGAAGCTCAGTTTACAAGTTAAAAAATTCATGATCAAACCCTACCAAACGCTTTACAAAGTCGCCTACCACACAAAAGTCATTTGTTTCACCGAAGTACTTGAGGGAGAGCAGGAAATATATTACCAGATATTCCGACTCTGCACATTCAATGATTTCTCCGCCATTGCCGACATGGAAACCGATCTCTTTGGTATGAAAATTCCTTTCATAAATCATTTGTGGCATTG